TTACATACATACCACTTAATTTTTATGTATTTATACATCCAACACCTGAACTTCTGTTTTGACATATTTGACACATTATTTATGCATTAAAAGGTGTATTCCACTTTTCAAAAGTTAAAATAATGGCAATTTTTATATGATAGAAAGATTTTGGGGATATAAATGTAACATGTAAATACATAGAATTGGGTGGTGTTCATATAAATGCCTCAATATTAACATTGAAGATATCTCTAAGTTAAAAGAATAAGCTCCTAAATGAAGATACTTGTATCTAGCTGTTAAATATTTGTAAGCTATACATATATTCTAATTTGTCTCTTCTAAATGGTAAGCTTCTAATTTTAAGATGTGTAATTAATGTTAAGTCTTTGTCAGTATTTTATATGATAAAACCTGCATCTTTTAACTTGTTAAATTGTTGATTCACAATCTTACAATTTTGATGTCATCAGAAGCTGTCAAAGTAAGCCATGAATCTCACAATGTGCAGGTCATCTAAAAAGCTTGAAGTAAAGGTTTTGGACAATGATGGAAAAAAAAATATATTAGAAGGTACAAATTCATCCATGAATCTTAAAAAACAAAAATCACATATGGTTTAGGCAACCTGCAGTCCTCTGAAGGCAAAATTCCCAGGATTATCTAAAAATTTAAGAGTTTCAAGGTGCATGTTATTTAGAATTTTTATAAGATAAAAATATTAATGGTAGAAGTTATTTAATAAATTCAAAAGATATCAGAAGGAACAATTTCTATAGCAAAACTCTGAAGACAGTGGTCTTGGAAGGTGCATGCATTTTGAGTATCAAAAAGTTGTTATGTTTCAATTTTGTTGAATGAAAGGTGAAGGATTTCGATTCTCTCCTGTGCAAAGAAGAGAACAAGTGGCTTGAAGTTTCTAAAATGTAGAGAGGTTTGAATATATAAAGAAGGAAGGGGTTCGCGGTGTTCTTGTCATTTCCAACATGTGTGTCGGATTTGCGAGCGTGGAGAATGGTCGGACGGCTCCTTACACAGTTGGTGGTGAAGAAGATCTTCTATTGATACAAGTTTTTGCTGTTTTGAGGCCAGAGCCTTCATTGTAACCCTTTTCTGTGATTTGTGCATCAAATAAGAAAGTTTTCAGCTGGTCAGACACCAAACCTCGGCTGAGTCGAGTTAGATGTCCGAGCAGAGACCCTTCCCGCGAACAGATGGGGTGGACTTCTTGAGGGGTGCTAAACTCGCCGCCTCAATAGGACCATGCACCCGTTCAGTGGTTGTTGTCGGTCGTATGGGGTTCGTTATGTCTCTCGGTGGCTCCTTGCCCCTGAGATTCCAAGAGAAAAACATGACAC